TATATAATCAATCCGAAGGAAGAGGAGATCGGAAAGAGAAAAATGCCACCGAAAGAGCAAAAAGCGAGAAACGACAATAAGAGTACGAGATAGATCTTTTGTCGTTTTGCCGAGCCAATCGTCGCCCACGTGGCACTGCCAGCAAAAAGGTCTGTATTTGATGGTAGAGTCTGGACTTTACGATGCCGTGTCAGTTTGAGGTTCTCGTTGATCCACGTGTCAGCTCCAGAGCTTGAGAGTTTTTATCTTCGACGAAAAGCACCTGCCATGCTCCACGTGTCCTTCATTTTAAAACTTGATATGCACCTCCCTCCTCCACCTCTTCGTACTTTTCTCTCTCTCTCCCCCTCACCGATTCTTTTTCTCCCATCACGCCTCTCCCTGTCTTTGTCCCCTCTGTCCATCAGATCGGCATATCGGCATTTTCGGTGGTTGCATGAGAAGGGCATGACAAAGCTCGCGCTCTTCATATCTTCATATCGGCATTTTCGGTGGTTTCATGAGAAGCATGCCTTGTGGCACGCTTCGGCTCTTGTTGGCAGATTGAATCCAAGCATGCCATGCCCGCTTACAGAAGCCTCTCCCCTTTTAAAGATGTACTATCCTCACCCGCGCCGCCTTCGCAGCACCTTCCTCCCCTCCCTGGGGCACAAACCCAGCCCTCACAGGCCAGCCCTGGCATGCCATAGGGCGTCCTCATATGACGTCCCGCTAGAGGATCCGCCTGTCCCATGAGGGCGCCCTGCTGGAAGAACCACCTTTCCCGCGGGGCGGAACAGGGCGCACGAGCTCCGCCGTCGATTCGGAAACCATAGCCGTGACTAACACTACGGTAGCGCAGCGAACATGCGCGCAGGAGAGAGATGGTGGGGAATCCATGATTCCATTCGTGGGGAGCTACGCCTCCTGCTGGAAATGGGGTCCAGCGTCCCTTAGAGAGCACAATCAATTCCCAAATAAAACAGAGTGGACAGCTGTGACAGTCCAGGATCTGTCTCTCCTCAAGCCCGAATGGCAGAGAGGGTGCCAACCCTCCCTTGCACGAACCGGTTCACCAGAATGGGCGCCAGCTAAGAATGACCTCCTACCTTCTTCCCCCGAATACAACGTACGGTCATTATAGCTGTATTTAGATTGAAAGATACGCCGAATTCAACTAGAATGACCGTACGTTGTATTCGGGGGAAGAATGTGCTCCGTGGGTGCATCGGCATGCCTATCAGTTGGACGCCCCAGGCTGTGGGCCAATAGGTCAGCGCTGTCAATAGCCTCGAATCGTCCCAGAATGAACACAGCAGATTTTGTGTTTTCGCCTGCAGGAGGAAAACAAACAACGTGAAGTTTCAATTCAAAGCTGTCGCACCAAAAAAAAAAAAGAAAAAAAAAAAGAAGGTCAGCTTTAGCGAAATCGCTACGTAATATAGCCATCTCCGGGCTGCTCCCTATCCCGTCTGTCTGGGTGGAGATGGCCACCGTTAAGGTCTTCTTCTTTGCCGTCAAAAAAACTTATTCTTCACCGTTACCAGTCTTCTTCCCCGTTAACGGTTTTGAGTTGTGAGTGCTGGGCTCACGCTGTCTTTTTGGCCTTCCCGAGCTCTTGTTATTTAATTTATTAATTTTAAAATCGTTAATCACCGTAATTTTGCTGCGGAATTCAGACCGGATAGGGTTAATTTGGCAAAGAATTTGTTTTTTTATTTTTATACATACGACGATATATATATCGTCAAACAGAGCTATCTATATATAAGCAAACAGAGCTGCGCGGTAAACCGTAGGCAGAGAGGGAGAAGAGGGCAACAAACGAGGGTCCGGACTGTGAAGAACTGTTTCGTCGTATAGAGGTTCTGAACAGGGGGAGTTGTAAGGAAGAAGATGAAAAATGAATTGATATTTTTTTGTTTCCTTTGTTTGTTTTTTTCGCTTTTGCGCTCTGATATCTATGTGACGATATATATATACAAATCACAGCCCCTCGTTTGTTGTCCTCTTCTCTCTCTCTGCCTACGGTTTACCGGGCAGTTCTGTTTGTGACGAATTCATTTTTTTTCCTTGTTTTCGCTTTTGCACTCTCATATTTATGTGATGATATATACCATATAAAGAGGTGACGAACAGGTGGGGCTTTCCTTCCTTACTCCTTTTTCTTTTTCTTGTTGTCTTTTTCCGCCTTTGCGCTCTGATTTCCATTGTGACGATAGTGCTTGCTCCGAACCAGTGAAAATTGTATAAGCAATGTTCGATCAGCAGGAAACCACAAAAAAGTACGGCCGCTCGCCCTAGCCAGCGACCGCCGAGCTGTTTGGGATCCTCAGAGACTTTACGCAACGCATCTCACTTGTTTTGACTTTGTTTTGAGCCATTGCGGCTAATGTTCCTAATATCATGGAAGCAATACTGCAAAAAAAGAAGATTGCATATTCCCGGAACTCCACAAGCTCTTACGAGCCTGTGTTTAAGTGGACCATCCACTCGTTTACAAAAGATTTTAATTTCACAATTACTAAGTCACTGGTTACTCAAAATCATGGCTATTCTGTTATATATATCCCTATATATATCCCTGATGAGTCAGTAGGTGAAACTTATACATCCCTGATGAGTCAGTAGGTGAAACTCCGACGAAACAGTTTGTCACAGCCCCAGAATGTTTTGACATCCTGGTTGGTCTTGTCCCGTCGTTTGGCCTGTGGACAGGGGCGGTGCTTGCATGTGGGACTTGTCATCTGGGATCTGTTTTGTTGCCCCCTGTTCTGTTTTATTTGGCTGTTCCCTTCCTCTTTTCTTTGCCTCTTGGCCTTTTGGCTGTGTGCAAGTGAGTCGATATGACACACGGGAGTGGGGGCAGCAGCCCCTCAACCTACATCCACGTGGGCGGCCTTGTACGCAAGAGGAGGTTCTGAACAGGGGGAGTTATAAGGAAGAAGATTAAATCATGAATTCATTTTTTCCTGTTTTCCTTCTTTCTTTCTTTCTTTTTCCTTTCTTTCGCTTTTGCACTCTGATGTATGCTTGTGACGATACTGAACAGGAGGGGGAGTTGTAAGGAAGAAGATAAAAACTGAACTGATATCTTTTTTGTTTTCCTTTGTTTTTTTTCGCTTTTGCGCTCTGATGTTTATGTGATGATATATATATCGTCATATTCATATGTATATATAAAAGTTTCAGATTGTATTATAAACTTGAAATTGAGCCTGGGAATCCCTCAACATCTCAACCCGAAAGAACCTGGGGGCCAACACCCAGCTAAACCTTCGGCTTGTGCTGGAAACCGGGTCCAGCATCCCCAAAACTGCAACTTCAAAAAAATACCACAGCTGGATAACAAATTCTAAAATCAAGGAAGGCAACGGACTGTAGAAAATTATCTCGAAACAACCAAGGACACCCAACTATTCTAACTGGGAAGCTGGGTATTACCCAACTTCGCTCAAAGATGTTAAAGAAATGATAACAGTTGTCCTCTGCAGCAGACCAATTCAATCATTTCAATGATCAATCCAAGTTCCACTGTGACCTGAACAGCTGCGAAGTACTCAGTAACCCACCCAGTGACACAGGTAATGCAAAGCCTGGTGTTTGAAAGCCCAGAAGGGCCAGAACTTTGCACAAGTCGGCAGCCCCTAAGAGAGAATAGAACAGTCCTACGTCGCTCCGAGGCCAAGATCTCCCCTTTCAGTTCTTCTGAGTGGGAGGTTTCGTCTCAGAGCCCGCCAAATCACCCTCATGATGACACCTCTGCAGACTTGGGCAATGTAGCCCCTCCCAGAGTCAAAAGGTCGTTGAAGAAGTAGAGCAGCCAGATCGGATCCATGATTCAGACCAGGTGATCCCGGAGGCCCCGGATTTAGACCAGTGCTTCCTCCACCATTGCCAGATCAGGAGGGAGGAGGGACAGACGATCCGHAAATGGGAAATGGTTTCCCAAGCCCTGTCCCATTGAGAACATTGCTAAGGAGACCGTCATGCCTTCAGATGCCAGCCAGGCCCCCGAAGGGACTGCTTGCATAGACTGCAGCTATAACAGACTCGCAGCCTTCTGATCTGGAAGCTTTTGAACCTTTTTTTTTGTTTGTTTTTTTGTTTGTTTTTTGTTTTTGTTAAAGACACCAGCGCCGGCCTGCTAGAGGAAGTGATAAGAGAAGCTCCCTGTAGCAGGCCTGTTGCCCGGTGCTCCGATCTATTGGTGGGGAGCGTCACCTGCTGGAAACCGGGGCCAGCGTCCCTTAGAAGTAACATATACTCAGCAAACGGAGGTACAGAAGAGCCCGCCAGCATTTATTGCCCTGGGAGACCAAGAGATTAACTGCGTAGGCCCTGCGGGCGGCCCGCGGGGGAGGGATAGGGGGGCAGGGGGTGGKGCCGTCCTCCTTGGGGGGGCTCCAAAGAGAGACCAACCCTTTTGCCTCCTCCTCCCCCTCCGTCCCCACCCAGTTGTCTTCTTGCAGAAAATCCACCACCCCCGATAATGGGTGTCGGGGGAAAGGGGTCCAAAAAGTCAGACGGGGGTTGCAGAGGGATACTGGGGTCCACAGATGTCCAGTCATGAAAGCTCAGCCTGTAATCCCCCTGGCGAAGTCGTCTCTTGACGGGTCCTCCTCGGCCGGGGCCACCCATGATGCACCCTCTGTCCAAAGAACCACCGCCATCTGTTCTTTCCCGATTAGGAAAATAGGTCGTTCCGAAATGGGAATGGCCGTCCTATCCCTCCATTTATTTCTCTGAAGAGTTTTTTTACCATACTGAGTGCCTATCGCTGAATTCAACTCGACCGACGACCGGTTAATATTTGATCGCCTTGTTTTCCTCTCTCGTAGTCCCTACCAGTGCCTTGCTGTCATGGAGTCAAAGCTGCAGCTAGATCCAGATGGTTTGACTTGAGTTGACTTGAATTGACTCTGATTGACTTGGATTGACTTGGATTGGGTTGTTTTGAGTTGATGCAACAGATTGATTCGAGACTGTAATAATTGCTCTTTGTTCCCAGTCTGGGGTGGAGTTGCCACTGGCAGGCTGTCACCCCCTCCAGCTGCCAAGTATCAGGAACCTACTGTGTAGGTTTTTTTGCATCAAGATCATCAGAGTACCTACCCGGTCCTACCGGCGTTTACGTGTGGAGGGGAGACTGTAAAGATGGACACCGAAGCTAGCAGCAATCTTGTAAATGGACAAATAGCCTTTATGCTTGACCTGTACCGCGCTGCATTGTCATCGACGGGTGCTAACGCTCAAAGCGAGAAGCTACTGAATGTAGCGCTCTCGCCAGTAAGCATAGCTCTCGCCCTGGCCGTCATCTCTGGTGGTTCAGCAGGAAACACGTTGAAGGAAATAGTTGATGTTCTGCGGCTGCCCAGAGAATCTGATGTGGCTTCTGCTCATTCTTCCCTAGCAGGTCTGCACCGGAATCTGCTAGGGAAGCCCAGTGCCGACTCCTGCCCAGAGTCAGCTGCAGCCGCAAAAGTTCAGATTGCGACCGGAGTTTGGGTGAGTGACCGGTTCCCGTTGAAGAAGGAGTACGAGGATCATGTTGGGACGTACGAGGGCCGTGTGGTCCCTGCAGATTTTGTGGGGRCAGCATCACAAGTCAGTGCTGAAATCAACCAGTGGGTGAGTAAACAGACGTCGGGAAAGATACCCGAGATCGTCCCGGCTGGTCTGCTTAATGCAGAATCTGTCATTGTGCTTGTTAACGCTCTCTACTTCAAGGGATTATGGCACAAAGTCTTCAATCCGGCGTCTACTGCCCCCAGAGACTTCAAGATACCATCCAAAGGTGGCGGCATCGMCACGGTGTCGGTTCCGATGATGAGGAACAAAGGAAGTTACAGAATGGGAGAGCAAAACGGTTTCCGGATTCTGCGGTTGCCGTATCAGGTCGGGGGAGGAGCAGAGACGGAGGAGGAGGTCCGTGAGCGTGAGCTGGCTATGTATRTTTTCCTGCCGAACGAGGTGGATGGGCTTGCAAAGATGGAGGAATCATTGAGTGCGGAGTTGCTGACRAAGTCCTTCAGCAGTATGTTCAGTGTTGATTTTGACCGACTTTTGCTCCCTAAATTCAAAATCTCCTCGAGTCTGGAACTCAAYGGGCCACTCATGGACATTGGCATGAAGAGCGCTTTCGGCAGCGATGCCGACTTCTCAAACCTCTTCGGTTGTGATGCTCCCTCGATTTACATCTCGGATGTCCTCCACAATGCATGTGTCGAGGTTGACGAGGAGGGCACGGTTGCTGCGGCAGCAACTGCCRTAGTCTGTGGGGTGAYGTGTTGGAGACCCCCTATTGAGTTTGTTGTCGATCACCCTTTCCTTTTCATGATCCGAGAGGACACATCGGGTATGATTCTATTCGTTGGCCGTGTCGTTGATCCTCGTCCATCCGTGGGTTTGTGAATGTTACAGCGTCCTTTCAGTTCTTCAATGGGTTTGTATAACTTTGTAATGGATGGGTGCCAGACTCTCACACCTAAGCGAGAGTGCATCTTCCTCGTGTTGGTCGTGGTGTAATTGTACAGATGCGTTAATTTTTAATGAACAGAGAATGAGCTGCAATCGTTATCGAAAGAGCAGGGGGCTTCAGTGTGCTTGTCCTTTCTTTTTTTTTTTTTTTTTTTTTTTGGGAACCCTTGGCTCAGTTGGCTGTCTAGAGGGGGTTTGTGACTCCTTGTCCACCCAGTGTTCACTGTGAATGTCACATTGCTCTTGTTGGAGTTTTTCAAGGCGTTGTGCAATGGATGGATGCAACACCACAGGCTGCCTGCGGTGTGGCTGAATGGAATGCATAATATGTAAGTGACAGTGGTTACATTTAGTGGTTACATTTATCATATAAGTTACATAAATCATGATAAATCATAAATGTACTAACTGTTGGTAAACTGGTCGGGAGCTCGAGTCCTCGTGGGTGCGTTGAGTGTGGGTCGGTACCGTCTTCCATGCAACGTGTTGCCTTCCCTGTGGCTGAATGGTATTACACAGCTAACTGTGCCTAAAGGTTACACAAGACCAGCGGGCGTAGCTTGGTTGGCACACCCTTGGTCTGTTGAAATCCAGACCTTCAGTTTGAATCCAGATGCCATCAGATGAACAGAGCAAAATAATTCTGGAATTATCTAGGCTGGTCAGTTAATATAACTTCATGAGTTCATAATGATATCTCAAGACTGTATGCCCTCCCCCCCCAACCCCCCCCCAACGCCC